TTGAAAACCGGGCATTGTGTGTATCCTCATGCTAAATTCATTAAGTCCAACCAGAGTCCGAACTTGATAAGTAATGTTGTATGTGGTTCTTGTATCGCGTAACATGAAGACCTCACAGCCTCTCTTCAGGTAGGACTCTCATACTGCAACACTTGTCTTTGTAAAGAGACAAACTGACAGGATAAAGTCTCTAACCTGCCTGTCAGCTCGCTCTGGTCAGTTTCAGTGGATTTACCATGAAGGCTTTAATCTGGTCTGTAATATATTATGAGATGTAAAAATATTTTTCGGTTTATTTTGAAACTATGGCAGAGCAAATTAGACTATGGTGGGCCGCCTTGGTCCCATTAATTAATGGGCAACACTGGGGAACATTTCTGGTTGTTCATTTATAGCTGCAATGCACTACAGGAAGTGCTGGGGGCAGTATCGCTTCCACTGTCTGCCATGACTGCTTGACTACTCATGTCGAAGAAGAAGCATCCACGCGAGAAGCGGAAAGTAAAATAGAAAGAGGCAAACAGCAGAACAGTCTTTGTTTTTACAAGTTTTGTACGCGGTTTTGGGGCGAGAAATCAACTGTGCAGAAATAAGATATTGGCTGTTTTACCAAAGTTGATGGCAAATTGTAAATGTGCTCAAACGTTTTCGAGGTTGAGAAGCTACACAAGCGCCCGCGATGTTAGCGGTGCCATCAGGCCGGTCAGTCTCGCCCACAGAGTGCCCTGGTCCCAGTTACTCAGACCATTGCAGCAGCAACAACAGAGCTGCAGAGACAGAGGAAAGGCGGTGTTTCCTATGTTTATTAATTTGTGGTGTCCCGCCACAATATCAACTGCCACATACTGATTAGTTTATTTTATTTTACTAGGCCTATTTAAAAATCGTATTTGATTGCAGATCAGCGCCAGATCTCCCTTGGTTTCCCCCTGGCGTTGATACTGGTGTTCATTCTGAATAGTAAACCTCATTCACTTAACGGTAAGGTTAGCTAGTTACACTGTGTGTTGGAGATCAGTAATTCACTTAAGATATTTAATTAGTTAAATAGTTTGGTTAGGGTTAGGGGGTGACAAAAATAATCGTGACTAGTTGACTAAGTGAATAAATAATAAACAGATTAGTCGACTACCAAAAAAAAAGTCATTAGTTCCAGCGCTATTTCACATGCTCTTTTAAAAACTTTTACATCATGCAATGTTCATCAGCATTTAGTATACAAAATAACAATTTGGGGCAAAAAAACACCAACATAAAAAACACTTTTTTTTTTTTGGTGGAAAGGGGGTCCTCTGGATTATCGTTGATCATGTTATTGCCTGATTTTATTGTCGTTAAATATCTGACAAAAACTATCAACCAGAAAAAAAGAGTAAATGTTGTTGAAAATCCACTGCTTCTAGATTTAAAGTTTTTTTTCATTCCACTCTTTCATCTGGCCTATATAGTACACTTTTTTAAAATTATTATTTTTTTTAATCGAATTGAAATGAAATTTCTTGTCTGAGGACAATGGATTTTGTGGGTACTGGGCAATCACAAAATCATAATTTATAATTTTTTAAATCATGTATATGAAAATAAACTAAATATGTGCAGAAGACCCTCAGATGATCAACCTTGGTTGGTTAGGGGGCGCCAGAAATCACAGGGGGTGCCCAAAGCTTGATCCGTTTTGAGGTTGTCTAAAAAACTAAAAAAGTCGTGATAACGCACTAGATAATTTATACAAAAGTAACTTACTTAAAATAGTAGGCAGTCTACTTAGTAGTAGAGCTGTAATGGTTTTGAAATGGAGACCAAAATCGCGACAAAAGTCCACGATCTGGTGTCGCGGATCCCAGAGACAGAACTGCGACACACCCGCTCATTGAACTGTTGAGCTCTCATTAAGACAATCATGACCGCCGCTACAAAAATTTACCAAAACATTCAGCTAGCGTGCGCGCATCGATATTGACTAACAGCTACCCTATATACAGCGTGCAAGCCTTGAAAGTCCAGCTGCATTCTAACATTAACTTAGCTCTCCTTATTTGCTAGGCCCCTTGCATGCTGGCTAATAACTTTTTTAAGCTGGGTCTCCCAGAGAGAGAGGTACGGGTGAGCGAGAGAGGGAGGAAGTGCTGCGGGAGGAAGTGCTGCGTGAATGCGCTACGGCGCTCTGCAATCAAATGCGATTATTTTAAATAGGCTTAGTTAAAAAAACAAAAAAAACGAAAATCAATCTGTGGCGGTCAGCATTTATATTGTGGGGAGACGCCACAAATAAATGAACTTATGGGAATGGCTGAATGATAACGCAGTTTAGCGGTTATGATGTTTCGAACCTTTTCTTCAGGAAATTTTCTCCATCTGGACCTTTTTGAATTTTAATTGAAAACACATGCTGTACGGTAAATGCAGACAGAAGCCAAATGACTTCTACACATTCTTAAGCAGTGAAACACTTCTGTCTTCAGCTGACAGGTTTATCTGAACTCAGGACTAGTGAGTTTACATGTGCACATGAGCATTTGTTCACTGAAATTCAAGCATACAATAGGCTTGTAGTTTCTTAGTTTGAATGACTTTCAAATATGTTATGTCTCCTGCTCACTTTGCCTCAGTGGTAGCTTCCGCTCTACCCTCCGTCAACACATTTTCCTCACTTGAGGTCAATGATGCCACATAATGTCTGTGCTCTACACTAAGCTTGTGCCTGGATAGCCTGTGTCCTCTATCTACCGAGCCTGCTCGCCCAAACCAGCCCCACCCGTGGCTAACTGATACCATCCGTGGGCTCCTTACAGATCTCAGAGCTGCTGAAGGAAAATGGCGAAAAACCAAAGACCCCGCTGACCTTAAGGGCTACCAATTGCTCCTATCCTCCTTCTAAACAAGCATCAGTGCTGCCAAAATTACGTTCTATAATGACAGAATAAGCAGTGCCACTGACTCAAGGAAATTATTTTCCACTTTTTTAAAGCGCTACTAAAGCCTCCTCCACCACCCACAAACTTGTCTGCTGATACCTTTGCTGCCTTCTTCACAGGCAAAGTGGAGGCTATAACTAGCCAATTCTTTGAAACACTCAAACGCAACCATTGTAGCAGTCCTACTACATCTTTTCCTCTGCCCTCCCAGGTCATTGGTTGTTCACTCTCCTCGTTTACTCCCCTCACAGAGAGCGACGTATCAGAACTCTTGACCCGTAGCCGTCCAACTACATGCCCACTGGACCTGATTCTATGAATCTCCTCTAAGCCATATCTCCTACTGTGGTCCCGACAATCACTCACGTGATAAATACTTCTCTGGCTTCAGGAACCTTCCCGACCACTTTCAAAAGGGCTCGGGTTACACCCTTGCTCAAAAAGCCCTCGCTTGACCCAACTCAAGTTGAGAACTGTGTCTCTTCTACCTTTTTTATCCAAAACTACTGAACGGGCAGTATTCAAACAGGTCTCAGAATTCCTCTCACGGAATGACCTCCTAGATCCATATCAGTCTGGTTTTAAGAGTGCCCACTCTACTGAAACGGCTCTTCTGTCTGTAACAGAAGCCCTAAGGTCAGCTAAAGCTGCAGCCCAATCCTCGGTTCTTATCATACTTGACCTATCAGCTGCCTTTGACACAGTCAACCACAGGATCCTGCTATCCGCTCTCTCAGCAATGGGCATCTTGAGTAAAGCACTCCTGTGGTTCGAATCCGACCTCTCGAGGCGTTCCTACAATGTTTTGTGGCAAGGACAATTATCCTCCTCCCACTGCCTCTCCACAGGGGTGCCCCAAGGCTCAGTGCTTGGGCCCCTTCTCTTCTCAATTTACACCACCTAACTGGGGCCGATCATTCGCTCGCACGGCTTCTGTTACCACTGCTACGCCAGGCGATCCCACTGTCTTTGCGCGGATCACGGACTGTCTATCGGACATATCTGCATGGATGAAGGCTTGCCACCTTCAACTAAACCTCTAATACTGAACTCTTGGTCATTCCAGCCAAGCAATCTATCCACCATAAGATCAAACTACAAATTGACTCCACAACCATCACTCCAACCAAGGTGGTGAGAAACTTGGGTGTCACGATTGATGACCAGCTGTCCTTTTCAGACCATGTTGCTGCTGTCTCTCGGTCATGCTGCTTTTCTCCATACAACATAAGGAAAATCAGGCCCTACCTCACTCAGTACGCCACCCAGCTTCTGGTACAGGCCATGGTTTTCTCTCGCATCGACTATTGCAATGCCCTCCTAGCAGGTCTCCCAGCTTGTGTGGTGAAACCCTTACAAATGGTTCAGAACGCAGCAACGCATCTGGTTTCTGATCACCCGAAAAGGACTCATGTCACTCCATTACTCAGTGACCTCCACTGGCTCCCCGTGGCCTCCACAATCAGATTCAAGTCACTAATGCTTGCATACAGAGTGACTACTGGGTCTGCACCCATCTACCTAAACTCCATAATACCAACTTACGTTCCTTCTCGGCCGCTACGCTCCTCCAACGAACGCCGCCTGGCTCTGCCATCCCTTTACACAAAGCAATCCCAGTCCCGGCTATTCTCAACTGTGACACCACGATGGTGGAACGAGCTACCACACGCCATCAGAGCAGGGTCGTCACTCTCTAACTTCAAGAAGCTCTTGAAAACTCATCTCTTCCGAGAACACTTCCTCTTATAACACCTCTAACTCCTAACCTCTAACATGCACTTCCTATGCTCTTCTTCTATCCCCTACAATGATCTTGTATTCATTGCACTTTTTGTTAACTCTTACTTCCTTCCCTAGGTATTTACCCAATTGATGTGATATGTACTGTGAGCTCTTACTAGTATGTCAGTTGTAGATCTGTAGTTGATACTTGTATGTTGTTCCACAAATGTAAGTTGCTTTGGATAAAAGCGTCTGCCAAATGAGTAAATGTTATAGAAAATGTGCAGTTTCTCCCCATGTTTGAGAAAGTAGCATGCTTAAAGTGTAAACCTTGTGTATGTTTATCATTGATCTCCACAGGCGTCCAGCAGCTGTTGGTGAGTAAAGAAGAGGTTTCCCCTGAGGAGCAGCAGCAGTGGAGCCACAGGCTGGACCAGGAGGACCCACCAGAGCCGCCACACATTAAAGAGGAACAGGAAGAGCTCTGGACCAGTCATGAGGGAGAGCAGCTTCCAGGACTGGAGGACGCTGATATCACCAAGTTCCCATTCACTCTTGTCCCTGTGAAGAGTGAAGAAGATGAAGAGAAACCTCAGTCCTCACAGCTTCATCAAAGCCAGACTGAAGAGAACAGAGATGCAGATCATTTGAACTCTGACTGTGCTACAAGCTTTGGCCACAAGGAATATCTGCACAAACACAAAGCAACTGAAACAGGAGTGAACCAATTTAGTTTCTCAGTTTGTGGTAAAAGATACCTTGTGAAAAAGTCCTTAATGACTCATATGAGACTTAATGCGGAAGGAGAACATTTCAGCTGCTCAGTTTGTAAAAAAACATTTAAATGGAGAACAGATCTTGAGACTCACAGGAGAATGCACACAGAGAGGGAGAAACCATTTAGCTGTTCAGTTTGTGGTAAACGATTTGCAAAAAAGGCATATTTGACTCAACACTTGACAGTCCACACAGGGGAGAAACCATTTACGTGTTCAATTTGTGGAAAAAGGTTTGCGCAAAAGGGGGTTCTTGGTCGACACTTGATGGTCCACGCAGGGGTGAAACCATTTAGTTGTTCAATTTGTGGTAAAACATTTGCACGAAAGGATAATCAGAGACAGCACATGAAGTTCCATTTAGAAGAGAAACCATTTAGTTGTTCAGTTTGTGGTAAAGGATTTACTCAAAGAACAACTCTGAATCGACACGTGATCCTCCACACTGGGGATAAACCATTCAGTTGTTCAGTTTGTGGTAAACAATTTGCACAAAAGGCAAATCTGAGTCAACACAGGATCCTTCACACAGGGGAAAAACGATTTAGCTGTTCAGTTTGTGGTAAACGATTTTCAGTAAACGGAAATCTGAGACAACACTTGACTCTCCACACAGGGGAGAAACCATTTAGTTGTTCAGTTTGTGGTAAACAATTTGCAAAAAAGGCATATCTAAGACAACACTTGACAGTCCACACAGGGGAGAAACCATTTACTTGTTCAATTTGTGGCAAAACATTTGCGCAAAAGGGAGTTCTTAGTCGACACTTGATGCTCCACACAGGGGAGAAACCATTTAGTTGCTCAATTTGTGGTAAAAAATTTGCTAAAAAGGCAAATCTGAGTCAACACTTGACAGTGCACACAGGGGAGAAACCATTTACTTGTTCAATTTGTGGCAAAACATTTGCGCAAAAGGGAGTTCTTAGTCGACACTTGATCCTCCACACAGGGGAGAAACCCTTTAATTGTTCAGTTTGTGGTAAACAATTTGCACAAAAGGGCAATCTGAGTCAACACTTGACTCTCCACACAGGGGAGAAACCGTTTAGCTGTTCAGTTTGTGGTAAAAGATTCTCAATAAAGGGAAATCTAAGACAACACTTGACTCTCCACACAGGTGAGAAACCATTTAGTTGTTCAATTTGTGGCAAACAATTTGCAAAAAAGGCATATCTGGGACAACACTTGACAGTCCACAGAGAGGAGAAATCGTTTAGTTGTAGTGTTTGTGATAAAAGATTCACTCTGCTAGATGAACTCAACACACACAAGTGCGTTGTTGAGAACAGCGGAAGAAATGAAGCTGCTTGTGGAGATGTTTTTTTCCAGCAGGATTGAATTACTGAGGTCAGGACTCTCAACAGTGATCAGCTAAAAAATGTGACATAGACGTCAAAATAAGTTCTGCTTCATCTTCTCCACATGATCATATACTAATGTTTTTATTTCAGTCAAAAATATTTCATTGTTTCTTGTGCACTGTGCTTTTTGGTACTACATGATTGCATTGATGTGCAGTTGATTAATTAAACAACTGATTGGTTAACTGCTTATACTGTTCTTATTGTTACTTCTTCAAACCCCAAGTCTTTAGACAAACTCTGATTGGACACCATCAATAGTTGAGGTTGTGGAATTACCCAGTTCGCTTTAAAGGATGGGTTCGGATTTTTCAAGCCGGTCTTTATTCAATATACAGGTGCTGGTCATATAATTAGAATATCATCAAAAAGTTGATTTATTTCAGTAATTCCATTCAAAAAGTGAAACTTGTATAATGTATACATGCATTCCACACAGACTGATATATTTCAAGTTTTCATTCCTTTTAATTTTGATGATTATAACCGACAACTAATGAAAACCCCAAAATCAGTATCTCAGAAAATTAGAATATTGTGAAAAGGTTCAATATTGAAGACACCTGGTGCCACACTCTAATCAGCTAATTAACTCAAAACACCTGCAAAGGCCTTTAAATGGTCTCTCAGTCTAGTTCTGCAGGCTACACAATCATGGGGAAGACTGCTGACTTGACAGCTGTCCAAAGGACGACCATTGACACCTTGCACAAGGAGGGCAAGGCACAAAAGTTCACTGCTAAAGAGGCTGGCTGTTCACAGAGCTCTGTGTCCAAGCACATTAATAGAGAGGCCAAGGGAAGGAAAAGATGTGGTAGAAAGGAGTATACAAGCAATAGGGATAACCGCACCCTGGAGAGGATTGTGAAACAAAACCCATTCAAAAATGTGGGGGAGATTCACAAAGAGTGGACTGCAGCTGGAGTCAGTGCTTCAAGAACCACCACGCACAGACATATGCAAGACATGGGTTTCAGCTGTCGCATTCCTTGTGTCAAGCCACTCTTGAACAAGACACAGCGTCAGAAGCGTCTCGCCTGGGCTAAAGACAAAAAGGACTGGACTGCTGCTGAGTGGTCCAAAGTTATGTTCTCTGATGAATGATGATGAATTTAGCATTTCCTTTGGAAATCAAGGTCCCAGAGTCTGGAGGAAGAGAGGAGAGGCACAGAATCCACGTTGCTTGAAGTCCAGTGTAAAGTTTCCACAGTCAGTGATGGTTTGGGTGCCATGTCATCTGCTGGTGTTGGTCCACTGTGTTTTCTGAGGTCCAAGGTCAACGCAGCCGTCTACCAGGAAGTTTTAGAGCACTTCATGCTTCCTGCTGCTGACCAACTTTATGGAGATGCAGATTTCATTTTCCAACAGGACTTGGCACCTGCACACAGTGCCAAAGCTACCAGTACCTGGTTTAAGGACCATGGTATCCCTGTTCTAATTGGCCAGCAAACTCGCCTGACCTTAACCCTATAGAAAATCTCCCTAGGGAGGTGTTCCAGGCACGTCCAGCTGTGAGGAGGCCTACGGGAAGACCCAGGACTAGGAGGAGAGATTATATCTCCACACTGGCCTGGGAACGCCTTGGGATCCTCCAGTCAGAGCTGGTTAATGTGGCTCGGGAAAGAGAAGTTTGGGGTCCCCTGCTCAAGCTGCTGCCCCCACGACCTGACCCCGGATAAGCGGATGAAGATGGAATGGAAGATTAACAATAAGTTACAGCCAAATAAATTTTTTTGATTTGTAATTTCTTTACATATTCAAAAAGGAGTGGGAAGAAGAAAACAATTTATTTAATCCCACCCCATGTCCACAAATCAAATGCTTCCAAATTAATATTTATACATCTACTTTGTCATACCCAAAAGCAATTACAAATGTACATAAATTATTACAAAAAAAGTGAGGGGGGAAAAAATTCGTCAATTCAGAAAAATGAAATAACAAAACTGAAAAAAACTTGTTGATTATTCATCCCCTTCTTCCCTGTATCCCGTAAAACCATATCCTTGTACCTCATTTTAAACTGATTTATATTTGGACATTGCTTTAATTCCTCATTGAAACTGTTCCATAACTTTGCTCCAAAGATTGAAATGCAACATTTCCTGGTTGTTTGTTTTTGAAATTGTGTTTCCACCTCTCTCCCTGAATAATATTTGAATATTTCTGCAATAGGTTATTTTTGGCTTTGAACATTATTTGAGCTGTTTGATATTTCACAAGATCTATGAATTTTAATGATTTTGACTTTAAGAATAATGAGTGTGATCCCAATACCCAGCACTGTGAATAATCCTTATTGCTCTTTTTTTTGGAGAAGTGATAGTGAATGTATTGCTTCCCCAAATCTCAGCACAGTTATTGAAATATGGTAAAACTAGTGAAAAGTATAAAATGTGGAGTTAATTTTGATCGAGAACCTGCTTTGCTTTGTTTAATACTGAAGGTGATCTTGAAAGTTTAGATTGTCCATGATTAATGTGTGATTTCCAGCTGATTTTGTTTTTAGAATTACCCTGAGAAATGTATTGTCCTGAACTCTTTCAATTACAACCCCATCTATTTGTATGTGCACCTGAATATTCATATTGTAATTCCCAAATAGCATTATTTTAGTTTTATTCAAATTGAATGATATATTTTTAATTTATTAATTTCTTTAGTGACGTCCTCCAGTAGCTGCTGTAGGTTTTCACCTGAACAGAATATATTTGTATCATCTGCAAATAACACCATCTTAAACAACGTAGATGCTGAACATATGTCATTAATATACAAGATAAACAGTTTTGGGCCAACACTGACCCCTGTGGGACATCACAAAGCAATGTCCAAACATACTGTACCGAGGCCTGTACCAAGAAGCGAGTTCAACGTACCCAGGAAATACTTTTTTTAATAAAACCTAACAATTACGAACTGGATAAGCGGTCCCACAAAGCTGGTTGTCAACTCGGTAAGTCAACCCAGGATTTCCCAGGTGTTAGGGGTGGCGCAATGGATAAGACTATGCCTTTGGTGTGAGAGACCCGGGTTCAATTCCCCACTGTGTCTCTGAGTCCCTGAGCAAGGGACTTAATCCTTTATTCCTGTGACATGTATAGTGGTGGAGGCAATACTCAACTCCTAAACATACAAATACCACACTGAAAATACTCCACTGCAAGTCCTGCCTTGAAAATGTTAAATGTAAGTATTGTCAGCAAGTCTGAGACTGTGGGCCTCTCTCAGACAAAGGTTGGAAAAAATATGTACACTGCTCAAAAAAATAAAGGGAACACTTAAACAACACAATGTAACTCCAAGTCTATCACGCTCCTGTGAAATCAAACTGTCCACTTAGGAAGCAACACTGATTGACAATCAATTTCACATGCTGTTGTGCAAATGGAATAGACAACAGGTGGAAATTATAGGCAATTAGCAAGACACCCCCAATAAAGGAGTGGTTCTGCAGGTGGTGACCACAGATGACTTCTCAGTTCCTATGCTTCCTGGCTGATGTTTTGGTCACTTTTGAATGCTGGCGGTGCTTTCACTCTAGTGGTAGCATGAGACGGAGTCTACAACCCACACAAGTGGCTCAGGTAGTGCAACTCATCCAGGATGGCACATCAATGCGAGCTGTAGCAAGAAGGTTTGCTGTGTCTGTCAGCGTAGTGTCCAGAGCATGGAGGTGCTACCAGGAAACAGGCCAGTACATCAGGAGATGTGGAGGAGGCTGTAGGAGGGCAACAACCCAGCAGCAGGACCGCTACCTCCGCTTTTGTGCAAGGAGGAGCAGAGCCCTGCAAAATGACCTCCAGCAGGCCACAAATGTGCATGTGTCTGCTCAAACGACTCCAGGAGGGTGGTATGAGGGTCCGACATCCACAGGTGGGGGTTGTGCTTACAGCCCAAAACCGTGCAGGACATTTGGCATTTGCCAGAGAACACCAAGATTGGCAAATTCGCCACTGGAGCCCTGTGCTCTTCACAGATGAAAGCGGGTTCACACTGAGCACATGTGACTGACGTGACAGAGTCTGGAGACGCCGTGGAGAACGTTCTGCTGCCTGCAACATCCTCCAGCATGACCGGTTTGGCGGTGGGTCTGTAATGGTGTGGGGTGGCATTTCTTTGGGGGGCCGCACAGCCCTCCATGTGCTCACCAGAGGTAGCCTGACTGCTATTAGGTACCGAGATGAGATCCTCAGACCCCTTGTGAGACCATATGCTGGTGAGGTTCCTCCTAATGCAAGACAATGCTAGACCTCATGTGGCTGGAGTGTGTCAGCAGTTCCTGCAAGAGGAAGGCATTGATGCTATGGACCGGCCCGCCCGTTCCCCAGGCCTGAATCCAATTGAGCACATCTGGGACATCATGTCTCGCTCCATCCACCAACGCCACGTTGCACCACAGACTGTCCAGGAGTTGGTGGATTCTTTAGTCCCGGTCTGGGAGGAGATCCATCAGGAAACCATCTGCCACCTCATCAGGAGCCCAGGCGTTGTAGGGAGGTCATACAGGCACGTGGAGGCCACACACACTACTGAGCCTCAGTTTGACTTGTTTTAAGGACATTACATCACAGTTGGATCGGCCTGTAGTGTGGTTTTCCACTTTGATTTTGAGTGTGACTCCAAATCCAGACCTCCATGGGTTGATAAACTTGATTTCCATTGATAATTTTTGTGTGATTTTGTTGTCAGCACATTCAACTATGTAAAGAAAGGAGTATTTAATGAGATTATTTCATTCATTCAGATCTAGGATGTGTTATTTTAGTGTTCCCTTTATTTTTTTGAGTAGTATCGAGCTTGGATTATGGGAGTGTTGTTTATGGATCTGTATCAAAAAAAGCTTGGAGGATTAGATGTGATCCGGGCCAGGGCTCTCGGGTTGTGTCTCGGAGCAGTAAGAGCTTCACCTGTGTGCGCCCTACAAGTGAAGACAGACAAAAGGCTTACATTGTACAAGGAAAAGAGATTTTGTGATACACATGAGAAGCCACACAAGTGAGAAACTGGATATTTTCACCAGAGATTCAGCTGCAGAGATTGAGAAGTATACTGAACTTTGATTTGTGCAAAATTATGTATTGCATATACATATTTTGCTTTAATATAATTTGTTATAAAGGTTAGTTTGCTGTCCATGTAGAATGAACTAGACATCTGTGTGTTGTTTATATGCTCTGATAGTGATAATC